TGGAGCCGGGTCAGCCCCCCTATCCACCAGGCGCTGGCTGGGGTGCGATGCCGCAAGGTGAAGCCTCGGGACTGCCCGGCCCTGCGAGGGCAGGAGCCCGGCTCAGCCCAGAGATCAGGGCAGAGCCGAGAGCTGCATCCATGGCGCAGCCAGGACAGCACCGCCAAGGCGTGCGTGTGCTGGCAATAACCCGCTGGTGTCTGGCACTGACACTGCCTGGGCTCCCCAGGCAGGAAACTTTGGGTAGTCACCAAGGAGATAAAGGCAGAGGGAAACCAAAAACATCTCTGTTGCTTTGGTTAATTTTATGGGGAAGGTGTGGCAGCTTGGTTGGCTGATGTGATAAGCAGCAGCGGGATCCCTGGCTAACCAAACTTGCTGCCATTAACATGCACACAGAAACTAAAAAGAAACTTCTGTGTATAGGGGAAGTGAAGTAAAGCCAGCAAATTACCCTAACAACAGGAACTTTATTTGGTGCATGCAAACTAGGGGCTTTGAAAATCCTTCCAACAGTGGCTAAAGGCCTTTTCTGCTTGCTTACTTAAGATGTCTTGGGCAATGGCATGTCTAACATGTGACAGAGAACAAGGGATATTTTAAAGTTATCATTGTCATCGCTAAGGAAACCACAGACCAAAAAAAACTAAAAGAATAGTTAACCTTCAAAATAAACTTGTGGTAATTACTTTCTGACAGCATTTCTTTGACTCCTTTAGGACTGCTGCTGAGGGCTCTGTGAGGTCTAAGTGCGGGTCAATGGCTCTGATTTATTAAAGGGGACAGAAGAATTGTACTTTTTTTTTTTTTTCCAATTTAAAAATAGTTTAACCCACTATCCTGGAAGACCTAGGTTGCTGGAAGTCTTAGTGGTAACATGTAACTCCAGCATCTGCCAGGTCTCCAGGCATTTAATTCAGGAGGAGAGTATCTGCCCTGGTTTGCAGGGAGGTAGATGTGAAACTGTGAAGCTCAGCAAGGTGAAGCAATTGCCCAAGGTTATCCAGCAGGGCTCAGCTTAGGCTGCAGGCTTTCTATATTAGCTGAGAAGAAATCCTCTTGTGCAGGGATCTCAGCCTCTCTCATCCTTGGCCACCCATATCTCCTGAAGGGTATGTGATCCCCAGTTGTGCCCCAGGTCGTGGGTCCTGGACAGCACCCTTTACAAGGTGGCCACTCATGAGAACCACTTGTTCCAACACGTTTGCTCTCCTGTTACAGACGTGCATGCGCTAAACCACTTTCAGGATGTGCTGGAAAGACCTGTTATACTCGTGGCCCTGAAGAGATGTGCTTGTGCGCGCTGTGCACATCGCCCAGGGGGATTGGGTCAGGCTGCTGATCCACAGGACAGATCTAAAAGCCAAGCTGCAGTCACACCTCGTTTAGGGCTAAGCTCCTGTATGCTGTCCTTCATGTGTTTTCTGCTGATACTTGGATGGATAACTGGTGACCCAGGGCATTAGCGCTGTGTTAATGCTTTTGCTCCTCTTGAGCAGGTCCCTGGGGTTTAGCAGACAAACCCATCAACATTAAAACCACATGCAAAGGAGCAAACACTTTCATGGTAGACCTAACTCCCAGCCTCAAACTCTCAGCCCTGCAATAGCTGGCTGGGATAGAGCTTGCCTGAAAGATGAGATAGTGGGAGGTGGAAAGCCAGGTGCCTGCTAAGAAATCATCCAAACTGGCTGTGTTGGCAGAGTACAGGCTCAGAGGCTCCCTCCCCCCTTCCATAGGAGAGCCAAATGCCTGAGAGGGGGGGTGAATTTCACCCTGGAGCCTGTGAGAAACCATCAGCAGAGGTCAGGTCACTGCACTGAGTACGCAGCTCAGCCGTCCTGAGGCTTCTCCGTAGCACCCCTACTGCCCCAAAGAGCAGGGACCCTGTGCCCACCCTGGGCAGCTGATGGATCTGGCCTTGTGGAAACGGGCTGTGAGGCTGACAGACCTTCCGAGCTGGAGGAACCAGCGTCAGCTCGGGGTCACACTACACGTCAGTGCTGGGACCCCACCAGACAGGCCAGGTCAAGCTAGGCCAGGCCAGGCCAGGCCAGCTGCTTGGTGGTTAGGTAAGCTGTAAGAGGCACATCCCACTGTCCCCAATGTAGTGTTCCCAACAGGAGCAAAAGGAGCATAAAACACTGAAGAGTTGAACTTGTCGCTCTATCAGGCAAACTGAAGCAAGCAGGTCCATCACTTTAATAGTGAGTTAATACCAGATTACAAATAAAGAGCCTAGGAATTACGACAATCATGCCCATGATTCTGTTTCTGCTGCTGGTCTCTGTGAAGCACTGAAAGCCTCTGTTGATCTGGGCCACATTGTCCCTGGTCCCCAACAAAACCCAGACATATCCACTGCAGTCATGGGGCCATGGGGTCTTCCGAGTTCTTTCCAGCCCCAGGGAGTTAGGCACTGCCTCAGCTTCAGAGTCTCCCCTGAAGCCAGAGCCCTCGATGGCCTGATTCGACTCCTCCTGCCGCTGGCTAGAGCCTTTTTAGCGGCTGCAGGTGGCAAGAAGTGTTGTGCTGAGTGAGAAGAGATGCCTTGCTCTATTCTCTTTACCCCCAAAATCAAGGCTTGCACCCCAACCCTGTCATTCCTGATCTGCTCTCCCCCTTGCAAGGCCGGTGTTGAATGACTGCAGCCTCACGGTCCAGGGACGGATTCTGCCCCACCATTAATGAGCCTGGCAATAAAGGCACTGAAACTAGATACCAGATAACAGCAAACACCACTGAAATTCAGAAGCTCCTGGGCTGCAGTTAGCACGACCTCTCCCATGCCAGGGCGGTGGCTTTAGCCTCATGTCTGAGGCTGCCCAGTGCCGCGGCTAGCAGCTCAGCTCCAGTTTAGCGAGCACTGCCCTGTGAAGCACATGGGACCTTCAGGCAGACGCAGGGCCAAGGCCCAACCAAAGCACCATGCTGGGGATCAGCACCACTGAGATGCTCTGCTCCAGAGACCTGCGTGAGAATAAGATCAAAACTCATGCAGGGCAAGTAAGGGACTGCAGGGCCAGGGAAGCCTGGCAGCAAATGTCCCAGCTCTTTCTGAATGCCAGGAATGCAGTGCTGGAGAAATGCCCTCCTCTGGCAACAGTGTCATGTTCTCATCCCACAACAGACAGGACAAATCACCCCCCATGCTTGTGGACTCCCAGATTGCAATGCCTCATTCCTGGTGCAGAGGCAGCCCCAGAATGGAGGTTTGCACTTGTTGCTGCTGCTTTATTTGGGCTAGAGAAGGATGTTGGGTGTATGTGTCTGCTTACCTGGTTAGCCTGATCCATGGCCCATACAGCCATCGCTGGAGCTGCTGCTTTGGTCATGGCACGCTCTGCCTGCTGGAAGAGGATGAGACATGTTACATCCTTCTAACTCCCCCTAACCTGGTGCTGTCTTCCCCTGAGAGCCAGTCCTGGCTCTTCCCCAGGCATGATTGCCAGCTGCTGGGTGCGCAGCTGCGTGCCGTGTGCATGGGCCAGACACATCCACATTTGCTCTGGAGGTAACCTGAGCTCTGCTCTGCTCCCCCAGAGAGGATCACTGCAGAGATGGGCTGCCTTCCAGCATGCAAGTGCACTGCCTCCCTGCGCGGGATGTGGCACCATCAGCTGAGACGCCTTTTCAGCTGTCAAAATGCCAGCCTTACAACTCCCCCAAAGGCATCACTGCTGCTGACGGTGCTGGGAAGAGCCCCAGTCTCTGCAGTGCCCCCTTGCAGTGCAGGAGGAAGGCTTGCCCTTGCCCTTGCCCAACTTACAAGTGCTGTGACAGACCCAAACCAGGACTGCACAGCTGTTTAATGTTTTACTGCGTTATCTTTCCTCCACAGGCAGCACTGCTCCTCCGCCGGCCTTCACAACACGCTGTCACAGCAAAGGTTGACAACGCGAGGATCATGTTAAGGGAAGGAGCAGTGGGATAGAAGGGGAGATGGCAGGGATGAGGGGCTCTCTGCTCCCCCAGACAAAGAGCAGTATCTCCACCACAAGCTCAGGGCATTAAGCAGAGAGAGCGCAGCAGTCCTGACATTCAGAGATGTGCTGACTCTCTCCCAGGTCTGAGGAACAGAGTTGGGAAGAGAAAGGAGGAGATCTGCCCAGCTCAGCACTTCCAAGTTCCCTAGAGCTGCTGTTTCTCCTCCTTTTCTGCCTTCTCAGGGAATCAGCTGCTGAGCAGCCTGAAATGCAGATTCTTGCTGGTTTCCGCCTGAGCACAAGAAAATGCTTCTTAAAGGCTGAACAACCGATGGGATTTCTTTTTGGCAGCTAAAAGGCAGTTAAGTAACATGCTAGAATTGGATAATGTCACTAGAATACGTTAATAATATAACCTCAGTAGCAACCCACAGATAGCAGTGTTTGCTTTCATGACACATTCTGTGAATGATTACTCAGGACACCACTCCCGGCAAGTCTGTTTACAACACCTCCCAGCCCAGAGCTGCACGCACCCTGAGCTGCACCATGTCCACCAGCAGCACTGATTCCACTAAGTGGAATCATCAGGTGGTTCGCAAATGCCAGGAAGGGGACCTCGGTGTCCTGCTACCTGCCTAATGGCCCAACTTGCCTTGCATTGGCAGAAGAGATGTGTAATTAAAATACTACAATTCAAGAGACCTGGTGCTGGTCCCATGTTTGCCACTGACCCATGGCGTGACCATGGGCAAGTCACTGACACCTGGGTTCTGCTTCCTCATCACCACACCACGAACAGCCAGTGTCCCTCTGCTTCAGAGATTCAGGGCTGGAGCAGAGGTACCTGCTCTGGGCCCAGGACAAGCCCAGGACGGTGGCAGGAACAAAGTCCAAGAGGCATCCCAGCGCCTGTACTGCTGAAGGCCTGATCATACCCTTATCACTGGGCAGGAGGCTGTTTGCTGATGGGGGTGTCTGCAGGGAGAGCTGCTGCCAAGGAGAGCAGGATAAGAGAACAAAAGGGAACAGAGACAAAAGGGAACACACAGAGACAGCAGTGATGCTCTAGAGCCCTGCCAGGAGAAAGGAGTGACCGAGAACTGGACTGGCAAGCACTGAAAAGCCCAAGCCCAGCCAAGCTCTGGGGACTCCATCAGCTTTAGTGGCAGCATGTGCTGATCCTGCACCTTGGTGGAGCAGTGCCAGTGATTATAACTGGCCTGGCATTAATCTGTTCATCTTGGAAAGGAGTCCTGGCCTCTGAAATCGCTGCTGCCCACAACATGAACTCTGCCACCTGAACACTGTCAGCAAAGGAATCTTGCCCCCTTGCTCCTAGCTGTAGGGCTCTACAAGCAAAGTGTTTGATGTGGTCAGGAATGCAAAGAGCACCCAGAAGCATGCCAAGAGCACTTACCTTGCTGTAGGTGCAGCAAAGTAAGGTCACTTCAGGGAGGAAGGTGACTCACCTTAGGTTTTTCAAGAAGAGAACGTGGAGTCCATCTGGGCTGGGAAGTCTGGCAACCCCACTGGACAGCTATGACCCTTTCCAGCTTGCAGTAAAGACCCTGGGCTGTCCCCAACAGGCTGGTAGGGGAAATGATCAGAGGGATGTTGGGTGCATGAACTGCCCCAGGATGTGGCTGGGTAACATAGCTCCTGCTGAGGAACGGCCCAAGCCTGGTCCGTGTACTGTAAGGTCGTATGAAAGGCTTCGTGGTGGGAAGGCTGTTAAACACATGGAATCCTTCTTTTATAGCAAAATCCCATGCCAGATCAGCCACGAACTCTGCATGCTCCCGGCTGCTTTCGCTTGGGGCTGGCCTCGCACGGTCTGGTGACAAGGGAAGAATTGGACACTTCTGCTGTTATGCAGTCCATGTTTTGGAGCCTCATCCCAAACACACCCATGTGCCCTAACCCAAGCCAGCCCTGCAGGGCTCCTCTCTAAGGAACAGGAAAATAACATCTTGTCTTTCTCTGAGCACAATTCCCAGGTCAGACCTGATGTATGCAAATAAACTTCACTGAGACTTCACAGCAAGCCCCTCCTGAGTCTCTCTGCTAAAGCTGGTGCTTAGTCTGAAAGTCTGAGAGCTCCACCTGTAGGACACGTCTCTGAACTCTGGCCTCTGCTCAGTTCTCCCGTGAAAGAAAAGTGACAACACAACAACCTCTGATCAATGCAAAAAGCAAACAGTAACCTGCATCCAGCAAAAAGCAGCAGATGGGGAAATGCCTTATTTGTGCTCCTCTTTGGCTCTTTCTTCTGTTTGCAGGACACAACCTGACTGTACAACACAGTCTGCCTGAGAAGTCAATGGCCTCACACCTTCCAGAGCCTGTGCTGTGTGTGGGGGGAGCTCTGTGCTTGAAGGATACTCTATTCCCATCCCTCTTCTCTGCATGCAGCAATAACTTGCTGCACATACACTCCCAAACCACTCATCTCCAAATGCAGAGATAAAATTAGATCCCTCATTTCAACCTCTCACTTCCTACAGAAGCTCTGTGATGAAAACTCAAGACTACCTGTGTCTCCTGCAGATCCCAGTATCTCCCAGGCTTTGCTTTACTGCCTGCAATTTGGGAGCTCTCAGGATACAGAGCCACGAGTGCCCAAACACTGCAGCACATGCTGCCAGCCTGACCTCCCCTGGTTCAGCCTGAAGGTTCTCCCTGCACAGATGCACAGCTGGAGGCAGCAGCCTGGTGCAGAACAGGGCTGGCGTGACTGGGTTCCTCACCTGTCAGAGAGCGTTTGTGGAGTCCCTGCAGCATCACAGCCCGTCGGAAAAAGACAAAGGCCATGTAGAAATTCCAGTTCTCGGGGCGCTCCACTCCCATGTGGCTCCAGTACATCTGAGAATATTCCTCTGCTGTGGGGACTCCCAGCTGCCCCAGATCGCTCTTCCCCAAGCCTGGAAGATGCAAAGGGGCAACAGTGAGTCAGTAGACAGCAAGGAGCTCAGAGCGTTCTAGGGATGCTGTGAGGCTTGTGGCAGGCCCACGCAGGCGGTGGAGCAGCGGAGACAGTCGCTATTGTCATTCTAAGCATGGGCTGATCTGATGCACCTGCACCCACCTAGGACCAGTGCCAAAACAGCTCTGGACAGCTGAGGACAAAACAAACATGACAGGCTGCTAACAGCTACTGCAGCCTACGTGGGCAGGGGTAGCTGACAGGGCTCTGCTGGGATGCGACTCTCACCTATGCAGGAAACGTGACTACAGTAATACAGCCACAGTTGCCCTTCATGTAAGAGAAGGAATCCAGCACTGCTGCCATGCTGTCTCCACATAAAAAACAATGGATGTTTGCAACCAACCCACCTAGGTGAAAAGTATACGAGAGAGTTTTCTTTGTTGGGGTGAGACTGGGAAAGCAGTGGCTGGTGGGCCTTCCTCCTGTATGAGGGAGTAATTTTCCTAACTTTACCCCTGGATTTTTCCTTTAGCAAGTGTATAGCTTCATGGACAAAATTGTTCTGGGCTGGCTTAGTTCACAGCTTGGTTCTCCACCCAAGGGAGATCTGTTTCTTCTCATTCCTCTGGAAAACAAGTTCCCAAGTTTTACAGCTGAAATGAGAGAGAAAATAATCAAAATGGATTTTTAAATCCAGATTTGCAAGCTGTGAACCAGTGTCCTCCCCTCTGGGGCCAGCCCTGACACCACTGTTATAAAGGTCCCTGTTCATGAACAGGGTGATAGAACCATCTGGGAGAGGGAGCACATGGCAGAGTTCGCAACCAGGGCACCTTCTCATCAAACGGGTGGCAGATCCCAGATAAACTGGGGATGGGGTGGCCACAGCACGGCAATCACTGCACATGCAGGAAGATGCCCCTGCCCTGGAGGGATGGGGGAGGTTCTTCAGGGAGAGCAGAAATGGCAGAGTAGGAAATACGGTATGAGTCCTTTTCAAATGCAATGAGCCCAACTGTCAGCTGAGCTCTCCGGGCAGGAGCCAGTCTGTTTCTGAACTCTGATTCCTATCTCCATTTGACAAACGTGACTTCATCCCTCTCTGTACCTCTCACTGTATCAAAGTGAGGTGGCAGGAGGAAGGCCATGCAGTTATTTGCCACATCAGAGATGGGATCTCCTAGAGTTGAAAACTTCCAGCCAAGGACAGCAAGGACTTCTGGCCTCTCTGGATGAAAAACCAGGTTATCCAGCCTGTATCAGAGGGAAAAAGAGGTCAGAAAAGTTCCAAGAGGAGTTAAAAAATGCCAGTGCTCAGCAGCAGTAGGTGCTTTCCAATGCTCTTTGCTCTGTGCAAAAATTGCTTTGGGAGGCTGCACAAGTGAAACATTAATTCCTGCAAGCATAGGTCAGGAAGGGCTGAGATTATTCAATAGAGAACTCCTTGGTTAATAATGAACTGAACTGTGCTTTGAAGAATGAAACAAGATGATTTGGAGTCTCAGAGCATTAACAGATGTTATAGGACAGCCTAGCCAAAAAGCGATGCAGGCAAGGCATTGTTCAGGGGGATTTGCGTCTTTTTAAAGCATACAATAACTCAAGGCCCTGCACTGTTGCATGCTATAGATTTTGTTCAGTACAGCCTTCAGCGGCAGTGTGACTCCCAGGAGAGGGCAGCAGCCCATTGAGGAGGAAAAAGAGAGGGCAACATCCCTGCCAGGGTGCAGAGAACTCATCCGCTTCCAGTCACACAGAAACTGTGCGTACTACACCTTGTCAGAGGCAGCCTTGGCCCAGAATTGACAAAAACCTATGCTGCAGCCTCACAGCCCTAGTTGCCAGGGTCTGACAACATAAAAAGAAAAGTTCTCCTTGCTGAAGCAGCTCTAGGCATTCCTCACCTCTGTGCACAGCCACCACACTCCTTGGTGACTTTATCCATAACACTGGCAGCAGGCAAGTTTTGCCATGCATCCTGCAGCATCTCACCAACCATGCAAACTCTTTAAGCACCAAACATCATTAGCAACTTGCATCAGAACTGATTTCTGAATAGCGCAGAAATGGTTTATGATCCCCAGCATTAGACCAGTGTTTGCAGTAGTCAGGACAAGAAACTCTAAAACGCCAAGCAGGCAGCAAGGTTGGAACCAGATGGCAGGAGTCCAGGCTTTCAGTTCTTTCCCTCCATGTCCTGCTCTAAAATGGGCACCAGTTTAAACTGCCACAGATCGGCAGGAAGATAAACATGGGGGAAAACATGGGAGCTGTGGGTGCAAGACAGCACCAGCCAGAGCTCTTGGGATACGTTTCTCACGAAAGATGCAAAGGGCTCCCGGCATTCCTCGATCTCATTACCAACCTGACCCAAAGCACGGGTTTCAGACTGCTCTGAGGTTGCTGGGCCAGCCCAGCTCAGCATCTTTTTAGGTCTTGCCTATTGCTTTACACCCTCTCCCTCTCTACTCTCTGTCCAGGGAGTGCCATCAGCTAAGCAGTACCTGAAATCACCATGCACTACTGTTGTCTTCTGGGATTCAGGGAAATGCAGAGGCAGCCACTCAATGAGTCTCTCCATAGCTGGGATAACATGAGTTTCCATAGCTCGATACTGTTTTGTCCAGGTCTGAACTTGCCACTGAATGTAATTACCTGCAATAACAGAATGAAGGTTCTCAGGGAGAAGGACAGGCACAAAGAAGCTTCGAAACAGATGCGTAAAAGGTGCAGGCAGAAACAAATAGCCAAACAGGTCTCCACCCAGCACCCTGAGATAAGCTCCAAGGATTTGACGATTATTTCCAAGGGTCTCCTACATTCGTTAACTAGGCTCTGGATTTGATATGCTGATGCAAATAATCCGATCCTGGACAAAAATGTAACTTCTCCACCAACTCTCAGAAGCTGAGATAGCCCTGCAGAGAGACTGGACAAGCTGAGGAAATTTAGTCAGAGACAGCAGCAAGTAAGTTACTCCTGAACCCCCAGCGCAGCTCTTGCTAATGGCAGGAAACTCTGGGGACTACAAAAGGAAAACACAGACCTGGAGGATCCCAAGCAGCTTTCCACACCCTCCCAGCAGGCCTGGTGATCAGACACTCTGCTGCACACCTTCCTTCTCCCATCTGCCACCAAGTTTGCTCAAGTCCTGTACCCAAACCTGTCCCTGGAAATGCTGATACCCAGGAAGAGAAAGCAGCGACAGAGGATAAGTAGCCTTCTCTCACCATGCTCCCCATAGTCCTCCAGCTTGGCTGCTCTGAGGTCTACGCTGTGGATCTTGGAGAGGACCTGACACATGGCAGCATAAGTAGCCCTCCGCTGGCTAGGCTGCAGCCCGGGGAGGGAGATGTCCCTGTAGACTTGGCCAGCACAGTGCTCCATCAGGTAGAAAGGTGTGCCAAGGGTGCTGGGGAAGCAAGGTGGAACCAGCATGTCCGAGGGTAATCCTGCTCCCTGCCGCTTCGGAGAGCTCACCTGTACCCTGCACATGACCCCAGGCCCTCTCTATGTGGCACAACAAGCAGCCTCAAGAGCACTGCTATGTGAGCACTCCCTCCCAGCTGTGGCCTGGGCTCAAGCCTAGCTCAGACCCCCCGTCAGTGTGGCAGGGCTGTAGCATGCTCAGTCCCGGTCCCTCCAGACCGAGGAAGCAGAGGTTGGGACCAGGCACCAGCTGTCTCCCTGCTCCCCTTGCAGCGTGTTCTGGAGCTTGGCTGTCAGACTGCCTGCAAACATCATGAACGGTAGACACACATTTAACTGGCAGTGCAGACAGATGCTTTACTACAGTGGCCAGCAATCATCCGAGCAGCTACGAGGAGAGCTAGATTCTCTCCCTAGTCCCCCAAAGACTGAACTACACAGCATGTCACTCGCTGCTATCACATCTTTAGATCATGGGGCAAGTCTGAGGTCTGGCAGTTAGAAAAATCACCTTCTTATTGGAAACTTGTGCATTCCGAGCCAGAGTCAGAAGGAAGCCCATAAAACTGTTTTATGCTTGCTTTTCAAAGGAGGACAGCATTTTAATTAATTGCTAAAATAAGCACACACCTAAAACAAGCCAAATAAAAATGTTACAGCCCTTTGAACTTCTAGAGGCTCCTCTAGCCCAAGACTAGGCAAACACTAGTTAGGCCACTGCACTTTCGTGAGGCCTGGCTTGGGAGACACAGCAGCTCCTGGGACAGATCCCAGCAGCTGTTTAAGAGCACGCAGTGATGCTAAACCACAACTGAGTATGGAGAAGCCAAGGGAAGGCAGGAAAGAGAGACAGGGGCCAGAACCACTCTGTAAAGACTCTTACATAAACAGCACTAGGAGTTGCAAGCCACCAGAATCTCATGTTTTAAAATCAACAGCCAGGCCAGGGATCCTCCCGGGTCAACAGACCCCTTGGCATCCCTGGAGTCACTGTGTCTTTGCTGTGACAGTCCACACAAAAACCCCTGTTTGCTTGTCTGGGTTCTCACACCTGACCCAGCCCTGGTGCGAGTGCCTCCTTCTTCTCTTTTCTCCTTGCCTTTGCGGGGCTCTGGCTGAAGTTTTCAAACACAGAGTGAAAGCTGAGGGACAAGATTACCTTCTGTCCTCACAGAGAGCAAGTACAGTGGGAACAGGAACACCGGCCTCAGAGAGAGCCTTCAGCACCCTGCCAGGGTAAGTCAGAGAGCCATGTCAGCACAGAAAGGCATTAGGGAATCAATACTAGAACTGCATTTTTGCTAGGCAGATGCACAATATTAGAAAGACTCCCATGCTCAATGTTAAATAGATTAAAATAAACCGGCTGGGGCTAGGGGAAAGAAACACACCAAAATCTTCATACGGCCGAGTGCCCCAGGATCCATCCAACATACTCCCTGGAAAGCCAAGGAGAGAGCACAACAGCCCCCAAATGTCCTGCTGCTCTGCTGCTGCTGCAGAGGTGTGTGGCAAAGCAGTCTGGCTTGCAGCACAGCCCCACGAGAAAGGGGCTAGCCCTCAGCTAGGCTCCTCACCGCTCATTTGCAGGCTGTGCTGCAGCCTGCCTCCCACTCAAGGTGCCAGACACCACAGAGCGTAAGCAGCCAGGCAGCTCTACCACACGAGGGGGCACGCTGCTGGGCACGGGCTGCTGAGCAAGGCCCCCCACTCGAAGGAGTCCTGGGAGGGGGCACACAGCCACTTACTACCTGCCATGAGACCCAGCACATGGGAGCTCACGTGCAGGAGGAAAAAGACCCGAGGGAGCCTGCCCTACTGTGAGCCAAGGGCAGTGAGGCGGAGGATTGGCTGGGACCTGTGTCCGACCATGCATGTGAAACTCCCAAGTCAGAATGCAAATCGCCCTCTTTGCAACCAGATTGAGAGGGAACAACCAACATGTTTACTTGGCAAAAAATACTGCTAGCCCTTTAGTTAACAGAGGAGGCAACAGCAGCAGTGCCTCGCTACGCCTGGCTGGACACCAATTCAGAACAAAGAGTGTCATTCTGGAACCCCACACAATGCTCTTTAAATGTGACAAGAGGAATGTGCCCCTGTCTATCAGGCAGGATCAGTCCCTCTTTCCTCCAGGAGTCCTGAGCTTTCAGATAGTCTGTTCTCGTGGGACACAGCAACTTCTAAAGGGATTCTGCTTCACCTGACACGGGCTGGGAAAGCTGTGTTATGCCACATGGCCCGGGAGGATCCACAGCGTGGGAGCGGGAAGGGTGCCTTCCACAGGGGCTTTCAGCAGAGGGTCCCAATTGCGTGCGCACCCCCAGCTGCAGGGCAGCAGCACAGCCTTGCCTCTCGATCCAAGATAGTTCACACTAGCTGTAGCAAATGGACAGATCACAGACTGGGATATGGAGCTATGCTGCAAAATGCAGGGAAGGACAATGTGGGAGGCAAGTGTGTGAATTGTGTGTGATCTGGTCCACTTTTCTGTGGACCAGAAAAGTCAAGGCTGTAATACAGCGCTGTCCCTTGGACAGGTTTGCTGGGGATCTCCTACAGCAGTCTTCACCAGTCAGTTGGCACCAGGAACATGGCAGAGCAGCTGCCTTCTCACCTGTACTCCCTTGCAACAGCAGGGCCTGAGGGAAGCACATCGTCAGAGGACTCTTTCTTCAGCACTAGCGAGCGATCTCCAAACTTGACATAGTAGGTCAGAGCAGGCTGTCTGTGGCCAAACTGCCGTAACATCAATGGACCTGAACAGTTGCGAGTAAAGGATTAGCAGACAGAAGTGTGGGCTGGAATTATTTTTTACCACCTCTCCAGGGCTAGTTTCCCTTTCTGTGCTTGGGGCTGTAATCTCATTTGCAGCAACCAGGAACCTACACGTTGCTCCCCTGTCCCAAATCCCTGAGGGCCATGGCAGTAGCTCACAGATGGCAGTGGGCCAGGAATGTGCCTGGCATTTCTTTGACAACTTTTGTTCAATCCCTCCCACACAAGAAAGTCCCAAAATGTTGCTTCCCAGTCCAACAGTGAGTGATCACTGAAACTTAAAAGGCTGCAATATTTGCTTGGAGGGTGAGAAGCCCTTTGTTAATATTTTCCACCCATCTGCCATATGATGGAAAGAGTCAATGGCTCCAGGATATGTGAGCTTTCAGGCTGGAGAGCAAAAAGCACTGCAATACCTGTTGCCTGGCCACTGAGGACATTTTCAAGGTACTTTTGGAGATGATTTTTTTGGATCTCCATGGTTGGTCTCACTGAACGAGTATACGGAACAAACCCTTGCAAAGGAAAACCCAGATAGGTTTCCAGCTCTTTGAGAGCTACTTCTGTATCATCAACCTGAAAACAGGAGGGAGGGAGAAAGATTGGATGACAGAAGATAGAGAAAAAGGTCTGCACACTTGTGATGCATTTATCTGTGAGTCCAAAGGCACTGATCTGCTAAGACATGCAGGCATTCATTGGTCAGTCCCTGCCAACATGAAAGCCATTACCAACATTTGCGGAGCCTCCTGCCTTGGTCTCTCTCCTGGTATGTCTGGAGACATACCAATTCCAATGGCACAGGCACATCCTTGTGAGCTTGGGCTGAAATAAGAGCTGGAATTGCCTGTGTGCACAGGGAGCAAAGTTCACTGTTCTCAACTCTCCTGTGCTCATCCTTCCCCCGCTGGTCCCCTCACTGCAGTAAAACTCCTTTCCTCATTATCTCCAAAGCCTCCTAGGGGTTATCCAGCCCCCAGATGACAGGTACGTGAAGCCTCAGAGCTTCCAGACGGTTGTTAAATGCCTCTTAAAATCTCATATTGGATAGACGTGGTTGTCTCAACCATATGGCTAAGGCTGCTTCTGTAATAGGGAACTGAGGTCTATAAAGGAAAAGTGACTCCTCCAGGGTTACGCTAGTTGTAGGGTTTAGAGCTGTAAATGAAACAGGCCAGGGCAGACTCTGCCAGTAATGCTCCCCTTTGTCCTGTAGGAATAATGACAGGCTAAAGCGAAAGGCTTAGCAACATGGGTCTGCCTCTGCCATTTGAAGTCCTGAGCCATTCGAGTCAAACACAGTTTCTGGACTTAGAAACTACACCCAAAGCCTATCCTGATTGCATTGCTTTGTACCTTCACTGTTTTAATGCCAAGCTGAGCTGCTGCCTTGAGGTTCTGGCTGACGTCATCGAGGAAGATGGATTCCTGGGGCTGAACTCCCAAGCGCTCCAAGCAGAGCTTGTAGATACGAGGGTCTGGCTCGTACATTCCTTCGCGGCAAGATTCAACTATCTACAGTGACAACCAATAGGTTACGCATGAATCTACTGAGATCACAAACACCTGAGCAGTGTTGCAAACAGAGGAAAGGAGGGTGGAAGCGAGATCGACAGGCAATGTGTGAAATGCAGGACACAGGGAGCGGAAGGCTGACAGAGCTGGCTGTGATGTGATCCAAGTGACTGTGTGGGTGCCAATTGCCTTGGCTGTGGCTCTGTCAGCTCAAATAAGCTAAACAGGACCAGCTAGGCCTTGGATGGAAGGTATCCAAGGAGATGTCATGATGCAGGTGACTTAGTGGATGTCCCAGAACGTGCCAAAGCAATTGCTCAGTGCTGTCCAAGGAAGTGCTGGAGTACACCACCTTCCAGATAGTCTGGAAAAGTGATGTCCTGGCCATTACACCTTTCAACCATGCCAAGGCAATCTTCACAGCAGTAGAGATGTTGACCCTAATCATCTGCCCAAATCTGGATCAAGAAAATCTTGAGTCAGTCCCTGAATATGCACACTGTCCTCACAATCAAAAAATTCAAGCAGTGTTTCATCCCTGAACTGACAGACACCCTAGGAATAGAAATTAATCTATTAAATAGATGTAAAAGCCAGTCCTAATAGAAACCCACATTTCATTCACGTTTTTTCATGAATTACTGCACATTAGTGTTGTTGCCTGCCGTTACACAAAAGCCACATTGCATGAGAGATGACACTAGACAGGCCATGGTTAATAAAGTGCTTTGAAACACTCTGGGATGAAAGGTACCACAGATCGTAACAGAGCATCACTATCCCAAGAGAACTCTGACACACCAGTGTCGCTAGTATAATACACAGAAAGCTGAGTCAATAATGATATAATTTTGACAAGATGACTTTAAGTAGTCCTGGATTTTCAATGGATCAATTTGATTCTTCTTCACATATTTTTTGTGTCTCATTCAAGGCTATAAAACACATTTAAGTCATGAATAAACCCCTGGAATTCAAAGATGTGAGTTGGGACGCAGAGAAAAGCTGATTTTTTATCATGCTGAGCCAAGTCCTCTCACCTGCCTGTTAAGTCACTGGAAGCAGCCTTGAGCTTCCTGGCTAATCTTCTGCTTCATCTCTGCAACAGCTAAGTAGTGCTGGGAGATGGTCTCTGCCTGCTCATCAGCACCAGCCCAGACAGAATGGCATTTTAGGCTACTGGGATATTTGTAACATAGGGGATGCTTTGCAATTCTTTGGATGAAACAAGCTTTTAAAGAGTAGAAACTAAATATATAAGGTAAGCAGGGGCACTAAGTAATGATACTTGTTTCCTGTATAGTGTTCCAGCTTCTAAGTCCTTTATCGACTTTGCTGTCTCTGCCTATTACACATATAGGTGTGGCTGTGTGAGCATTTTCCCAAGAACTTTCTAAAGGCACAGGTACCTGCCACTCACTCAGACCTTCTTCGAAGCCCAGCAACTACAAAGAATTACGGCAGAGACGTTCCCACAGAATGCTACATTTATGTCTGCTAAAACATATTGCTGGTTGCCGTTCACCTGGTATCTGCATGTAAAGAACTTCAGCTGATGCTTTCTACAGAGCTAGATAGAGAAATACATTTTGAAATCTGTCCAGGCTTACCACATCAAACTGCTTTCGGTCTAGGGGCAGAAAGCTCTGTCCGTTCAGCAGACAGAAGTTGTTGCTTAGAACAGCTGTCTTAAGACCTTCTGCACGGATACACCGTACTGCTTCTGCCATTATAGGGAGCTGTTTTATCATCTCCTTTCTGATTAAGTCCAAGAGAAAGGAATCCACTGGAACAGCGACATTTGCCTAAGAAACCAGAGAAACCCCCCCCCAATAACGATAATTAGCCATAAATGGTTTTTAAGCAGTGAAGAAAAAGCGAGAAAAGGAGTGGCTGGGTGGGTAGACTGCCTGATCACCTTATCTTGCTGTCCCGCTTCCTTTGGCAGTGGAAGGCAGCCAGAGAATCTTTTGCCTTAGACCAAATAAAATGGAGCCCTCAGGTTACTAATTCTACAGAAAAGCAGTAAAGCTAAAGGACGCATTTGGGGAAACAGAAGTGCACTAGAACTGTGCCTGCCACTGAATCAAGGTAGGTTGGAGTTAAATACAGTATTACCATTCAGCAGGCAGGGAAGAAACTTGCATTTTAAACTGAGCTGTTTCAGAAAGACTTTATGGAAAAGAGGACTCTTACATTGTGATCCTGGAGCTAGTAAACATAAGCTGTGGCGGAGAGACTTCTCCTGAGCCTAAGAACCCTTCCTAGAGACCATGGTCACCATCCACCAGGTGTGTCCGTGCAGGAAATCAGCAGCAAAAGTCTTTCAAGTGGTCTCAGCCAGAGAGTCGAGCAAAATAAAAGAGGGGATGTCTTTGTGATGGACTGCCTGTGACTTATCACCTTTGCTGATCCTGGAGATCTCTTGATATTAGAAAGCTATGGAAGAGGCAGGCAGAAGCGAAGGCAAATTCTGCTCGTCACCTTGTTTGGGTACCAGAATGATGAGGGCAGTGAAAAATATGTCCCGATCAGACAGCGATGCTTCCTAGATGTCTAAGAAGCCTTTTAGGAAACTGCACTGCAGACGGTAAATCTGAACCCCCTCTTGTTCGAGACATGAAGCATGAACAACTAGCACAGAACATTTACTTTTAAAAGCTCCTCTGTCCTCACTGAACCATGATGTTCCCACATTGCAGGATCCCATTTCCCTGAGTCCGGAAGCACAAAGAAAGCAGATGGGAGATGGCTTACAATCTCAAAGCACTGCTGTCCAAATTCCTGCAAAAACTCCACAGTCGTCAGCTCTCCTCTGGTGTACTTCAGAGAGGGCCTATTTTCCCCTCCAGTGAGTACAGCTTGTTGGACAGTGCCAGCTGGAATACAATTCCGGACCTCCCAGTCTATATAGAGAAAAGTAAGAAAGCCAGGAGAGAGCGCATATGGCGTCATTAGAACTGGGAAACTAGTTACAAATCTCTCTACAACCCTGAAATCCGATTCAGAAGACACAACACCAGCACTCATGAGACATGCTGGACTGAGGTAATTTACCCAGCTGCAGAGAGAAGTAGTTCTGGCATCCCCCAAGGCAAAGCACCTTGTCCTCACTTTAGACGTGGTACCCTTGCGGTGAAAACACTAAGTCCTTAAAGCGTCCTAAAGCATGGGGCACCAGCGTTAGGTGGTATCCGTCAGTGTTATTGTTTAATCTTTAGAAATGTTCAAGGCCCTGACCTGGGGTTGTCAACAAAATGACGAGTTGTGGTCAATGCTAATACTGCGGATGGTGTAATTGGTTGTGCTGGGCAGCGGTACCATCAAAGTCACTGCAAGCAAATTCTTGAATACCTTGCTGGAACCACCGATGAAGAAACGTGAAATTCATTTTGCCTGTATGCATAAAGATCGCACAGGGAGATGAGGATGAGGCTACGCACCTGCAGCTACCTTGTAAGGGGCAGGCAGAAGCACTCCGGTTACGTCAAAGATTACCGCTTTATACAGGCACGATCTGGAACACCTGCCCCGGACCAACCCCAGCGCCGCACATGGCACGGGCTGGGGGATGCCGGCACCCCACCAGCACGGGGCACGGAAAACACGCCGCAGGTACATGCTGCCGGCCGCGCAGAGATGGGAACCGCTGTAAAAGCAGAGTGGCAGGGGCGCGCTGTCACTGGAAAAACAACACATGTGGCGTTTGAGCATCGCCACGCAGCTCGTGAGCAAACGCGGCGCCACGCGATGACTTTCAGACCAGCCGTGGCTGCTTTCAGGGAAAACGAAGGAGATTTTTTTTTTCCTGCCCTTTGGCCAAGGCCGTGGGGGGCCTTCCCCACCCCCCCCCCCGGGCCTAGCGGCGTTGCCATGG